CTAATCTTGACCCATAAGCTCTCTGTCAGCGACTCCTCCGACCCCAGGCGAAGCTCCACGCACTCCAGCCGGTTGCTGATGTAGAGAGCGACACCCCCTCCTCGTCTCCCCTTCCTGTCCTTTTTAAAAAGCTTATACCCCTCCATGTTGACACTCCAGTCATAGGAGTCGTCCCACCACGTCTCCGTGATGCCAATAAGGTCGTAGCCCTGCTCATGTGCACGCATCTCCAGCTCATCCTGTTTATTTCCCATGCTGCGTGCGTTGGTGTACATACACTTCAGCTGGGCCTCCGACAAAGCCGACTCGCTGGCTGGAGCGACAGGGGTTCTCCTGGGACGCCGGGGAAGAACATACCTGCGATCCTTCCTCAGCCTCTGGACCCTCGGTGCTGGCACTGGTGCCATGCTGACAGCAGTATGAATCTGACTTCTTGGCTGCAGTGGCTGGAATTCCAATTCTGGATGATCAAGCTGATTCAGCTCCAGCAGAGACATCTTACGTGGTGGCAAATATTTGAGTTTACATGGCAGTATCTAAACCACTGAGACCTGAAGCAAACTGAAATAGTTCCTGTGACATGGTCTAAAATTATATAGGCAGTTTTGTAATACTGTGGTTTCTAAGCTATCAGGTGAATTCCTTGTGAATACTAGGCTGATACAGTGACACATCACTCACGTTTTTTAATGGCAGCAGCTGCATTTTACTGTCCTGTAAATACATAGGGGAGCAAGGGAGGAATTAGTGGAGGCTGTCGAGTCAGTATAGCCATTAATTTTATGTCTTTTAAGCCAGCTGTTGCTAGCAATGGATGTTGTTTTGCTGATGCTTCCTATTAATTGTCACCTGAGAAACTTAAAAAAATATCTGTATCAGATTGGCAGTAAATAGCAAGTATGTTCCAGACTTCATGAGGGAGACAGTCCATAATTTGAACTCATCTGCCTAGCAAGTTTGTATGAAAACATAGTTACGGAGAAGTTGTAAGAATTACAGGATTGGGATAGATTGCAGATTAGAAGTTAGGGTTAGAGGTCTATGTTAATAGGAAACAGGGACTTTCACATAAGTCTTTGACAGCTTTATTAGCAAGAAGGGAAAAAAAGTTAGCATTGTTAGTTAAAACTCAAGTCATTTTATGCTTTAGTTAACAGTAGTTTGAAGATCAGGATAACTATTCCTTACTCATTTAAATAAACAGAAATAATTGCATTGTGATAGAAATAACTCTTCTCAGAGCTGGAATTATTCTGGTGGGTTTATTCATTGGCTGTTGTCAATGCTTTGTGGCACAAAGCATGCCTGTGAAGGAAATGTTTTAAATTTGTGAGATCACTCTGAAGTCCATTTGCCTTGCCTGCCATTCCAGTTGGTCTTCTTTTTAGGCTGATTAGTAAGGAAGCGATAGTGTTGTCTGGTTTTGTCCAGCTGGCTTTGGTTATCTCTGGCGAAATTTCACTGGTGCTGCTGTTGCTCAAGCAGTGTGTTTAACTTGTTGGGAAATCTCCGTGTTGACTCTAGGTTTTTTTCATGACGCCACCAATGCATGTCTTCAGATGGCCTAACAGTAGGTGTTTGGGATGCAGGAAAATTAGGAAAACGTGTGGAACATAAAAGATATTGAGACTTTTGAGGTAAAATTTCCATCTAGGTAACTTGAAAAGGCAGTGATTATTTATTATTATATAGGCAGTGATTATTTGTAAGATGTGGTGTGAAAGAAAAAGCAAATACAACAGAGGACAGGGAAAAAGCGGACATTGTAGATTTTCACAAAAATGTACAGGTTGTTTTCTTGTTTCATGTCTCATTTTGTACCTTCAGCCATTTCTGTGTTTGAATATCTGAAAAGAATGGTAAATTTCACCGAGAGGTAAGACTGGAACTGTGCTGAAAGGATTAGCAGATAAAACAGTCACTGTGATTCTACAGCTATTTAGTTCTTGCAACTTTACTCTGTATTATTGAGGACCACATTTCTGCTATAATACAAACTTTGCCTGTAGTCTGAGGTAGTTTTTGTTACCATGTTCAAGGAAACGGAGGCCCAGAAACATAATGTGTATGTTGTGTTATCATTGAAATAAGACTTCTCAAAACAGGTTTGTAATTTATGAAACTGTTGGCCTGCTTTGCAGAATTTGAGAGGGTAGGTTATTTTGTAGGCTTTGGGCTTTTTTACCTTTGGTTTGGTAATCCCAGTGCTTCTGCAGACTGAGTCTCAGTTCAAACTCTAGGATAAAGATATAAAATACTAGAGGAGAAAGTTTTGGCCCAGTGGGAAGATTTTCTCACAGAATATAGATGTTGCTTCTTTCTTACACTACACAGTAAAAAACATTGTCTTGTTTGAGTATAGAAATCTCGGTTTGTTTTTCGTGCAGAGTTCAAACCACATTAGCAGGCTTATGTAGTGTTTGAATGGTGTTCATTAATATCAGTTAAGGATTTGTCAAGAATAGATTGTTCCAAACCTATCTGATCTTTCTGGTGTTGGAGTACTTGCCTCGGAAAAGGACAAGAAAGCTTGACTTCAGTTTTCTCACGTGACAGAACAGTTAGTTTAAGGGGGAAAAACATGGACTTCAAACACCTACTTATAGGTGGATGCACAATTAGTTGGAGAACCAGAGTAAGAGATTAATATTGGTAGTCTGTTAAAATTCATACACACTGTGATGCTTCAGCGAAATCATGCACGTACAGAAATGGGATGTAGTTCAGCAAGGATGGACCAACTTGTCTGGTTTCTTTTGATAAGAATACTCAACTTCATAATTACAAGATGGAGAGTGACTGATAGGGCCCTACAATAAAGAAACAAACAGAGAAATAAGTGGTAGGGTGATTGTCCTGAGACAACACCTCACTTGTGTAAAGCCCAGAAGACACAAGTATGTTCGTAAGACATGAAGTAATTTTTCCAGTAGACATCCACTGTAAGGCCTTGGCTTTTTCTTAGATGACTGGATCTCCAGAGATACCTGTCTTTTGCATGAGTGGACATTGCTATATGAGTGGACATTGCTATATTTATCTGGTTATCCCTAAAAGTTTTTCCCCAGATACAGTTACTTTTCATTTCCCCAGTGTCCCAGACCAAGGAGGAAGTTTTGGGCTGCGGTTTATGGTGGCTAAGCACATTAAAAAAGCAAGCACAGGTCAGGGAAGGTGTAAGAGGCAGTGTAGACCCAGAGGTTGCGGCAACGGTCACCAAGTGCCTATGTCCTGATCTGGAGCGGGATGCCAGTTCCATGGTACTCAGCTCACCACCAAAGGTAGGAGAGAGCCCTTTGCGAGAGGTTGTCAAGAGTGGGGAGGGAAGCATTTTCATATCATTTCCTCTTTGCTTCACAGAAGAATGGCAAAGGGCTTGTACTGTTTGGTGTGGGACTGGAGAAAACTGGCTTGGTAAGAAAGAACCTCTTTTGAAATTCAAATGTTAGCTGGGTTTTTGGTTTACCTCCAGTTGTTTGAAGCATCTTGCACTGTTCTCTGAGGTTCCTAAAGGAGAGGCTTTGTTTTTAGTGGCTCTCGAGGTTTAATGGCAATCTTCTGTCTTGCCTTCCTAAAAGAGGTTTTCTAGTTCAGGTAAGGAGTGATGCTGGGAATCATTCTGTTTGCTTTGTGCAGGGAGTTAAAATGCATAATTATAATATTTCCCTATGACTTTGTAGCTTATAAACATGTCAGGTAAATGAATCAGATTATTCCAAGATCTAAGTTGGACATCATGTGTGTAATCAGCTACAGCTCCATAGAGACTGGTCTGGTTTTTCTGATGTCACCCTTGAGCCTTATGTTGTTTTTTGTAGGCTTTTAAATTTTAATGTTAAGAAATCTAAAATAATAAGCTCAGTTCTACTGAGAAGAGAGAAGCTGATCTTATGGTTTAAAGTGCAGAACTGGAGATGGGGAGTTTTAGCCCTCTTAAGAATCCTGTGTGTGGGCTGTTATTTAATAGTTCTGTGCAGCTTGCTGATTTGTAAAAGGAAGATAATGCTGGTTTCTCCTGTCAAGACCTAAAAAAGTGTGTTGAGTATCTCAGGTAGAAGGCATTATTTACATTGTTTGTATTTGTTCTAATATCTTTTAGAACAGATGCTCCACAAAAAAAGGTGCATAACTAGCCTTGTGCATTTCCATAGTTTTCGTTGTGTGAGGCTGTGCCTCTTGTGCTGCAGGAGGGAAAGGAAAGACTTGTGCCTAAGAAAGTTGCTTTGCATCAGCCAATCCTGTTAAGTGACATAGGTAGCGTAGAAAAAGAGATTAAAAGCAAGAATATACCAGTAAGGTTATATGCAATGTCTTTAGAAGTAAATGAAAAAAGTAGTTTTTATCTCTTTGGAGAGTTTAATCTCTGGAGGAGCAATGTAGGAAAGAGGTTAAAGCCTTTAAAAAAATACAACTCTTAGTTCTAATAGAGAAAGTAAAGTAAAAGAAGCTTTGCCCTGTAGCAAAACTCACCCATTTTTCTGGAAATAAATTTTAAAGTTTTAAAAACATTCAGCACTAAGAAAATTCGTAGGTGCCAGCAGTGTTACAAATACAGTTGCAGTCACCAATGTAAGTATTTACCACAGTTATTGTGACAGCCTTTCTGGGAGTGTCACGATTACAGTGTCAAGTACATTAGTTACAGTTTTGTATTCCACAGGCTTTAGGACTTGAAGCATAATGTTAGCAGTTGACATTTTTTTCTTGGAAAATGAAAGTTTAAATTACTTTGAATACTCTTTTTTTTTTTTTCCTTTTTTTGAGCACCTGACCCACCCTCTGACACCCGTAATGCACCAGGCAAAAATTAAAATATGTCTAACTAATATCCATGTAGTTTAGTGTACTCTCTATCTCTGCCTACTCTGAATAGTCTTTATTCCTAGCCATTTTGAGATTTTTAAACCACTACTTGTTTCTCATCATAAGTGGTTTGGGTTTTTTTCTCCTCAGCCTGTGGGAAGTTGAGACACCTACCTTTTCAGAGTTTGGAAGAAGTAGAATTTCTTTTGTACAAGGATGCCAAGATACTTTTCAGCACACAGTGGAAAAGACTCAGTGATTATTTCATTTTTCTGTGTGTGTTCTTAAACCATGACCACAGTGGCTAAAATCCCCAGAGGAGAGGTTACCTTAATACAGAAACAGTGGCGGTAAATTCCGCCTTTATACTGGTTGATAATTGTCGCTGCTTTTTGTTTCAGGTTCTCCTTGATGAGCTTTCATCCACTAAATATTGGGTATCCATGCATGTCTCAGACCACAGTGGATTTCATTACCGCCAGTTCTTACTCAAGTCCTTGATAGGCAGAACTGCAACTGACAGTAACATGCTGGTACAAAATCAAATGGTAAATGAGCAAAACCCTAGCCTTCAAAAGGAGGACGAGAGTGCAGGGGCAGAAGCTGCCTGTGAGGAGGAGCGAAGCATGGATCTCCCGCACCATTTAGAGGAAGAGTTGGAGCTCTGCGCTGAGCTGATTGATACTTACCCAGGGCATGAAACCTTGTGGTGTCATAGGTAAGAGGACTTGGTCTGAAGAGTGTCCTTCTGATTTGTGGGTCGTTTTTTGCCTGATGTTTCCAGACAAGCTGTTGTTCTGATTTTAAAAGGTACCACTCAATACTCAGATTTCTAAACTAGTGTGTCTTAAGCCTTTGGAAAACATTCAAGAGCGTAATCAGAGCTATTGAATGGAAAATTTGATTGAGCTTCAATATCTTGTTGACGTAAGTGCCACTTGTCCCTATAGTTTGTGCAAGAGACACACAACACTGTTAATCAGCCTCCTCACGCTTAAAATGATATAGAGCAAAAGATGAGCAAAAGATAGGTAGAAGATGGATCAGCTGCAGAAAACCTCTGCTTTGCCAGCTGGATGTGTGTGCCTGACTAGGTAACAGCAGATTTGCCAAAGTGGCACTGAGCCCGTTTTTGTAGAGTGTGAGCAGTGACAGCAGATTTTGTGTCTGTTTGTGGGGGAATCTGGTGGGATGGCAAATGAACTGAAGCAATTCAGCAGCAACAGCACGTTATTTTCAATGCATGACTTTTTTTTTTTTTCTTTCTTCCTTCCTTTCTGAAGAAAGCGTGTGTTCTACCTTCAGCACCACCTAAGCAACAAACTTCCTCTTCTGAGTGCAGTGGTATCATCTGTGGACAGCAGTGATGAAACTCTGAATAATTCCCACCACAGTCCTGCAACAAGTCACGTGGCGCAAGCTATGGATGTTGATGGTTTGAATGAATCCAGCAGCAAACAAGGTTATACCCAAGAAACAAAACGCCTGAAGCGTGCTCCTGTGCAGGACTCTCTTGCTCCAGAAACGGAATACCGGTTCATTGATAAAGTATTATCAGCTTGTAGGGATGCAGACCAAGCCAGGTTTGCTACTGCTTATAGGAAATGGTTAGTTACTTTTTTAGATCAGTGAAGGAAGAGTTTAAAGCCATCAGGGTTCTTCTTTTAGTGCAATATTCTCTTTTCAGACACAAATGCATGTCTTGGTTGCAAGTGTTAGCTAACCATGTGTTTCTCACTCTTTTAATGGTCAGTCCTAAAGTTCATATTCAGAGTAGAAGTCTGTTACTTTATTTATTAAAGAACTGGCTTACCTTTTTATTACGCAAATGCAGTTTGTTCTTTAATCTTCTTAAGAAATTACTCTGTATCAGCTTCCTGCCATGCCATTTTCTTATTTTTTAACTTCTGCATTAAGGTGGACTCTGAATCATTTGGCTTTAAAAAACAAACAAAACAAAAAAAAGAAAAAAGTCTGAAATGCTTTTGAAACAGAGTGTCTGGAAAAAGAATAGGAGGATCTGTCAGTATCAGCTGTTTCCAGGTTGTTCCTCTTTACTATAGTAGCATCTTGCTAATACCTTATTGGATTCAGACTATATTCAGTGAGATCTATTACTTTTGTATTAGCAGCCTTTGGTAGAACACCAGACCGCAGTGTTTCGTTCTCAAGGCTCCAGTGACAGTACTGGAGCCATGCCTTTTACTGTTGTAACTGGATTTTTGTTTGCTTATTAGTTGTCACATGAGTTTGATAGGAAAGTCTATGAAGTTGAAATCCTGAAAAGCAGATACAGGAAAATGTGACAGAAAATAGTTAAAACACACGTGTTCACACTCATGCTTACAGTCAGAGCTATATTTGGAAATACTTTTCTTAGAACAGACTACTTTACCTTGATTTCCTGCTTGATATTTATTTATTTATTTTATCTTAACGATCCAGAATCAATGACACTTGATACATGTTTCTGAATGTATTATGTACACTACAGAATCTCAGCCTGCTAAATCACACGTTGGTAACTTGTACTTAACCAAGACCATGCAAGTCCAATAGATGATGGAGTAAAAAGTAATTCTTCTTACTGGTCATTGAGACAGTACAATTAAAAAAAAAAAAAAAAAGACAGCAGGAGGGAGCTCTCTCTTCACTTTTGTTCTTTTGCAGAGCTTCAGTCTTTGGGTTTTTTTTCTCTTGACTCTTCCTTGAGAGCAATTCTCCAACCATACATCTGTTCACATAGCTGTAAATTTTAAGGGAATTTAAAACACATTTCTGTTCCAGTGAAATTAAACATGACTGGTTTATTTGCCATTTCCTTAGAAATTGTCTATATAAGGGATTTTTTACTTTAGTGGGATTGTGCTGGTCCAAAGACCCGGGGAGAAATATTGTACAACTGTAAGGGTTTGTACAGTGACAACATTGCATCTGTTCAAACAGACTATTCAATGAGGGGATAAGATTTTCAAGCTAGAGTCTTCGCCAAAATTGCTGTATATTTCTCCTGCCCAAAGTGCCTCCTGACTGTGATAAGTTTCAAGCTGCTGTTGCTGTTGAGCAGAGACCACAACAATAAGGGAGGAAAAAACCAGATAGCCTGCTCAAAAGGTATTATTTGAAAGCAAAAAGGCACTTGAAACACATGGAATTCCAACAGTTCTAAATAATTTGATGGATGGGGATTACTCCTGCATTTCAAAATGAAAACAGACCACCTCTAGTCCTAGAGAGTGTGTTTCGTAATTCATTTCAGGCACAGAGCAGCTAACTGAGACATTTCTAAATGTACACTCTTCTGTTTACAGTACTTGCAGATAAGACTGACCTAGGCTTGAGCCCCTCCATGACAAAGCTTTGCCTGTGTATAGCTAGGGATGTGTACATGGCCATTTGTTTTGAGGTGCTCTGGGATGCTGTCTTCATTGATGGTTTTAGTTGCAGAAGAATGTAATCGATGTGGGAAGGAGGTGGGGGAATGGCTTGAGAGGGTAATTGTGCCGTAAGATGTTGTCTCTATGACCACAGGCAGATGGGTGGATTCAGGTACAAACCGAAGTCTGAACTTAAGAACTTGAGCAAGAACTTTTACCCATCCCAGAGGACCTGATGGTAATTTTGAGTATGAAAATTAAAGCATGTGTAGTAGTCTGGTTCAGCCTGATTTAACAGTATCCCATTGATGACTAGTATGAACCTGCAAGGTGTGAAGTCAGCTGGCAATCTGTTAAGGATCACCTTCTGGTGATATGTCTATGTCATAGATTACATAGACAGTAACATAGTTGTGCGTTCTGTTTACTTTGGCAAAAATTACCTATTCATGAGAAAAATATTAATGGCAGGAGCAGACTGCAAAGTGGGAGCATCGTAGGAAATGATGAATCTATGATTCTAAATATTTCTTTAACTGTGGAATTGATGCTGTCTTCTTGCACTGGAATGATTGAGATTTTGAGAGGAAAAGATTTCTGTTAGAATGACTTGAAACCCATTATATGTTTCTTTCAGACTGTAATCTGGAGTCTTAGTTGGCTTTCTTTGAGCTATCTCGTGGAAGTACTGTGCTGTTGAATGTGATGATTTTCAGTCATAAACACTTAAGATCAGACAGCTACCCTCAGATACGTAGGTGCAGTTCCTGTTCATGTCAGCACGAGGTATGCAGGCTTGTAAGAAGACAAGTTTTGGTCCTATGTATCTGAACAGAGTTGCATTGTATTTTCATACTTGGAAAACGTTCCAAGAGCTCTGGTTGAGATGGTGCTGACATTTTTATTACTTTTACAAAACACTGACGGCTGTATTAAGTGTGGGTTTTTGAAGCCTACACCTGAGGGAAGTACCCTGCCTTTTATTTTTTTCAATTCAGTGAGAATAGTTACATTTAGGAATGTTCGCAGACCAGATTCTGCCATACAGAAAGCTGAACAATAAAAATGAAATTGAAACAAGTCATATCTTCTCCTTTGAAAGAAATGAAAACAGTAAGCTGTCAAAATAGAGCTTTAATTTTTTCGTGGTAACAAAGATAATCATATGAAAGATGAAAATACCTAACTAAGTTACATCAAGCTGTCTATGTCCTGAAGCTTCTTACATGAAATGATTGAAGAGCTACTTCCAAAAATTGCATTAAGCTCACGACTGTGTGGTGTTCTGGAGCTATGATCTTTGGAACATACCTGTCTAACCATTCAGTGTTACTGCGGAGTCCCATATGGGCACTGCTTAGAAAAAAGAAAAGTGAATTCAGGCCATTGGTAGTTAACATGCATAAAGTACTGAGTACAGCTACTTTAAGTAATGTATTTTAGTCACTTTGTGTTTCAGAGGTCAGAGAATTACAATGTAGTCAATGAACATTCTTGCAGAGAAAAGGTCCAACAGATGCTGCAGAATCAAACTTTGTACTTCTGTAAACATCTTCGTATAAAGTTCAGCATTGTTACTGATTTTATCTTCTGCTGTAGTGTGTCATTTGAATTGATGCGAATTCTCTTTGTTCACTGGATTAGTCTTTGTAGAAATTTCTTTGTGCTAGAAACAAAGGGTTTTGAGGAACAAATGTAATTTGAAACTACAAAAATTAGAAGGAATCACATTTTTAAGGGGTTGAATTCTCTGCTGCTAAATACATTAACTGTTATTTTATTGGCACTTGGTTATCTTGCGTGTTACAGTCACTGGAGCAACACATGCAGCATTAAAGATAGCTACAATAACAAACTTGTATAAAGTTATTATTGGAATGCATTGCTATAGCTACTCTGATTATGTTTGTTAATCTACTCATGCCTGCATATTAGTATTTTGTTGACTTCTGACATATTCTTTATGCAATCAAATCCTTGTGTCATTTAAATAGGGGGAGAAGTAAATTTTTGGTTTATACTGTTTGATTAATTACCTTATATAGGATTTGTTTTAAGACAAATAAGCAAAGTGGTAATATAGTGAGAAAGCTTAGATTCTGTCTTAGAATCAGAATTTCTAGCATCTCCAGTGTTGTGTTAGTGCTGCTTAATTAGAATGTGTAGCTAGTCTTTATGGACAGAAGTGAGTTGCTTCCTAAGTAGATAATTAATGAATTTTTAAAACAGTACTGTATGATATTGGTGAGCAGAAATGACAGGTTTTGGAAAGGCTTGTCTGCATAGCCAGATTCAACAAGCATGCTTTTTCAGAATAACGTGTAATACAACGAACAAAACGTGACTACCAGAGAATAGAAAATAATTTGAGTGGTGAGTCTTAAGAGACTTGGTGATGGAATTTTTTGACAAACTTGTTTGCTTAGTTTTGTCTTGCCTTCTGTGAGGGAAGAACGTTCCTTAGTTTTTTTAATTTAGTAGGAAGTGAACTGTTGCACTTAGCATGGGGAAAAAAACCTACAACTCCTGAGTTGTATCTTCCAAGAGCAATTTTGGAAAAAGAAGCAGTGAAGCAAAATGTAGATGTGACTTTAAAATGCATGTTTGTCCTGTGCTCATTTGGTGATGAGAGGTCTTTACAATTAGCTCTCACTGTTTTATTCATGTCAGATGTAAAGGAAAGAGAATAACTCACATTCTCAAATGCACTTAACATTCAGGTTAGTTCAGCAAAGTTCAGTGTCCCTGCCTAAAATACTTTTCCTTCTTTTTTTTTTTCCCCATATGCTCAGAGGTGTTTTTCCTTCCCAACCTCTTCTCTGTTCTTCCAACCAGCAAAGAAGAATGTAGCAAAGCATTGGTGAGGTGGCCTCATTTCGTGTTTAGGTAACTCTGACTACCTCCCAAAAAGTGCTCTGATTGATGTCCTTAAGTGGAGTTCTTCAGGCTCAGTTTTTTTGGAACCTCATGCTAGGCCTACATCCTCTTTCAGAGGTGAAAAGCAAGAGCTTTATCTATGAAGCCATCTAGTTTCCCTAGAAGAGTTGAAAGAAGAAAAGAAAAAAAACATAAATCTTGTAGTTGAAGTTGGGAAAACTAGAATTAGCATAAACTTTCATTAGTCTTTTCCTCTGAAGAAGCAAGGTATTGCTGAAAAATGGAGGAAATAAGTGCTTCCAGGAAATTCCTTGTAGGCAGTTTATGCTTTTGAGTTACAGACCTGACACTTTCTAGTGGCTTTTACTTAGTGTGTAATGTTACTTCTCAGGGCTTAGTCTATTGTAGTGAATTAGGGTACATTTTTACAATTTATAATTACTGATTTAAAAAAAAAAAAAACAAAAACATAAATGCTAAACATATAATAACTCACTTTTTTTTTG